AAAATAATAATTATTTCAAAATAAATTTAAAATTAATAATAACAATTATTTTTAGTTAAGAAGCAGTGATTTAGTCTAATTAATTCAAGAAAATTCACTAATCAATAGCGAGGGAGGTGTTACTCTTACCGACACCTTTTTGGCACAACATACCATCCTCAGAAGCAATTAAATTTTACACCCATGCCTTCATAGATTATTGCCTGTTAAGTAGGAAACAAAAATAATTATCAAAAGGGCTTGCAACCAATTTGGAAATTTGTTAAACATCGACAGAGAAAATATGCAGATAATTTTTTTTAAAAAGAGGAAAATGTGCAGAAAATTATACAAAATTTCTCATTCTTTTCCATTTAAGAATGTGGATTTTGAATTTTTAAATCAAATAAATTTTTTTTATTTTTTTCTACATAAAGATATGAGCTTTGTATTTTCTTATTTAAAGATTTATTAGATAGCACTGATAATATGACAAATAATAATTTTAATTAAAATAGAATAAAATTCACATATTTAAATAAAAAATAAAAAAATTTATACTCTTAAATAAAAAAATTAATAATTTTAATTAAAATAGAATAAAATTCACATATTTAAATAAAAAATAAAAAAATTTATACTCTTATTTAAAAACTAATAAAATTAATAACCTTAAATAAAAAATATATTTTTTTATTATACAATTTAAAATTTAAAAAATAATAATAATTTGATACTTTTAAGTAAAGAGTATGGAGAAGATGTTGACAAGTCATGAAGCAGAAATGCAACACCATCTTCAGGTCGGACATTAATTACAATTACAATCCACATACAGAAGCTGCTCCATCCAGCACCTAGACAGGCATTCCGTTTGTCACCGTATGTAATTATGTACGAGTGCGGAAGACCTTAACCCATAACAATGTTTTTTTTTAAGTAAAAAATAAAAAAAAAATTACCATAAAGAGCACCTGACCTTTCAGATCTAGTAATATTAATAATATTAAATAAGTGCATCCCTCTTTCTTTAGACGGACTCAATCTCACCCCATGTCAAATTGTTTAAACAAATAAAAAGAAAATCAACGTAAAGGTGTTCTCCTGCTCGTGCAAGTATTTTTGTAAAATTTTAAATTAATTTCTCGAATAATTTTAAAAACACATTTGTGTATTAGTATAATAAATGGAAAAATTTTAATTTTTTTAAGTATTTACTTTAAAACTTCAATATTAAACTTAATTTACATAACAATATTTAGTTACTAATAAATTCAACCCATAGACTTCTCATAACCATGTTTTTTAGAGTGCGTTAGTTTGATAAAATCTGTATCTTGACTTAGTCTGTATTCATTTACTAATATAATCATGTAAGGTCTATTTGATTAAAGAATCAACTTTATTAAAGAACTTTCATTAGCAAAGTATCATACAAAAAGGTAATAAATTAATTTTGTAAAGAAAGTATTATATATACAAAAATTTCCCGTTTCCTTTTTAATATTGTAAATAAGATAAGAAACAGACATGTTGGCTGTTGCTGAAGAACTCCAACTTGTTAATTGGTGTTCCATTCTTAATATGGTCTCCAAAAGGGTAAATATAGTTGTTTGTATTAGTTTCTTCAAACAATTAACAGTTAAAAGTTAATATCTAATGGTTGATAATTATTATTATTATTTATAATTTAAAATATTTAACTTTTTTAGTTAAAATCAATAATTTATAGCTGTTTTTAAAAAATCAAAACAAATACTTTCCCTAAGTTATGATTTGACCATAGCCTTTGCCCATAATTATTCTTTTCATAATTTTTATATATCAAATGAATAGATATATTTAATATTAAAAACCTTATATAACATGATTGAAATTCCAGATATTCTAGATATCATACAAAGCTAACTAAGGGATAACTTTGATAATTTTTTTAATATATCCTTATATATTACTTAATTATTTATTTTTTCACTTTTGTTGAGACATATAATATGATTTACACTTATTTATGAAGATGATACTGTCTTTGATTAATTTTATTTATCACATTTTTAGTTAATATAATTACATAAAAAATTATAAAAATTCATCAAATATAATTAATTTACAAATTAAAATTTTATATTTGCCGTTTTTAACGAAGGTAGTTCAACAGTTGGATGTATTACTTTTAAAAATCGAGTAATTATTAGCAATAATATGTTGGTTCAAATGAAAATAATTTGATTTTTCTTAAATAAGATTTTAAGTTCAAGTTTTATGAATTAAAAAACATGTACTGAAAGAATTTTTTCATTTATAAGATCTGATATGACTCATTTTATATTAGTTATGATTTAATATAATTTTTAAATACCAAAAATTAATAAAAAAATTAAATAATTATTAATAGATAAAATTAAAAAAATAATATATATTTTTTTGTACATGAAGAATCATTGGAGAATAAAGACATTTTCGAAACATGGATGGGAATCGAATTTTTGACCAACTGAATCTACACACTAAAATTTAGAAGTGAACTATTGGAATTGAATGATCAGTTCAAAAATAATATTGTGTTAAAAATTAAAAGTAAAAGTAAATTAAATTATCTCATATGATAACTAAAACGAAGTAGTAAAAATTTTAACTTACTTTGGAAGTGCTGCTATAGTCTTTTAATATTATAAAAAAAACATTTAATATATTTACTATTTATTTTAATTAATATTTTATATGTTTTTGAATAATAAAAGGGTACAAAAATATTTTCAAATAAACATTTATTATCGCAACAGTCGGAAATTGTGACCAGTCGGGCATGTGTAATGTCAGATTCACACTTTTTTATTTTTTTTAACAAATACAAATTTAGAAAGGGAGAGAGATATTTAATTTTATAAAAGATATCAACGATCTAAATAATTTAGTAGTAATTTTTTTAAAAATAAAAAATAAAAAATCTTAAATTTAAACCGTATGACATGCAAGTGAGATATGATAAAAAATAAAAAAGACTTACCACTTGTTGTGCAATCAATATAGAAAAAAAAATTTACAAAAGATAATGGACATACCTTCTATAAAAGTTTATAATTAGTTATCCTTTTGGGGCATATGTACATTCACACTCGATTTGCTGGCGCTTAATTTAATTTCATGTGGATCTACAAAACTTAGAATTTAAATAAGGTGTTTTTAACGTTGTGCTCTTAGGGTAAGATTATGATTCTTTTTATCATAAATATATATTAAAAATATAAAAATTAATATTTATTTTAATATTATTGTCAAATAAATAAAATTAATTAAATAATTAATAAATTAAAATTTTTATTTTTATTTTTTTAATTTAAATTTATAATAAAAAATATATTTATTATATTTTTATTTTATACATAAAAACAGAAATTAAAAAAACCTTCTAAGAAGAAGGAAAAGAAAGATGAAGACCTGTTGACCTATCGGACTAACAATGAATGGAAACGAAGCCATTCAGCCACCGCAAGACTCTTACCCTTGTCATGAGGAAAGAGGCAGACATGTACTGATCACAACAGTGAAGAAGACCAAATTCAAAACCGGTTCAATCAAACAGCATCTTGATAAATTTTCATAGAAAAATAACTTCTTGAAATTTACATAAAATACCATACATGTAGATATAAAGCAAATCCCCTCCTAAGGCATCGGCTGCAACTTGTTGGAATTATTTGTTTTTAATTTTAAATTTGAGTTGAGAAAAATAAAGAGAGGAAAAGGGGAAAAATAAAATTTTCCCTTTATTCTTCTCTATTTCCCTCCGTTTTCTACCATTTCACTGTACTTTATTCTCTTTCCGTACTTTATTCTCTTTATGTAGATAAATAATTAAATTAAAAAAACATAAAATATAGAGAATTTGGCTTCTCCCCCTCTCCAATTTTTTTATAACTAAATAAAGAATTATTTTTTCATCCCTTCCTTCTCTTTCTTTGCTCTTAATTTAAATATACTATAAAAAACAATGAAAATATACTAAATTTTATCTCTAATATAATTTATTTTATTTTTTTACTAAAATCTATCTCTTTATTTAAGAAACTTAAACTCAAAGTTTTATAAAAAACTATTTTCTTTCCTCTCAAACTAATATGTCCTCTTAGTTCTTATTGATTGAAGATTTATCTTTCTCAGATCCCTAGCCAGAAATTTCTGACAACAATTGCTAAATTTGCTTTGTCTTCTAAACTTTTATCAAGAAATACTTAAATGAGGGTTGGTGAAAAACTGAAAATTGTGAGTTGCAGAGGTGACCCTGTTCTGCCCTAGATGGGAAGGAATCAGGAAAATAATGTTGGTTCGGTCAGTCAACCAAAATTATACAAAGTTGTACTAACAAGCAGAGAGTGGGGACGGGGAAATTTAAGTGGAAAAAAACAGACCCAGAAATCCAGAATTTCTCTCAATTTGTACTGTATAAATGTCTTGCATTTGCATGCAAACAAAGACACTTAATTAACATCCATCTCTCACCCTATTTTCGTCAGAAGAAAAACAGAGAAATGGAAGAAGAGAAGGAATACAAGAAGGGTCTATGGACAGAGGAGGAAGACAGGATCCTATCTGAATACGTGAGGGTGCACGGAATAGGCCACTGGAACCGCGTTCCCAAATTCACTAGTCTGAGGAGGTGCGGCAGGAGCTGCCGGATGCGGTGGCTGAATTACCTATGTCCCAGTGTGAAACACGGTGGCTTTTCGGAGGAAGAAGAGGATCTCATTATAAGACTCCATAAACTCCTAGGCAACAGGTTTCTATTCTTGATTCGCTTACTTTTCATTTTTTTTATGTGACATACCAACTGGTTGAAAGAGAAGAGGAGTAAGGAAATGAAACAAGGGTTCAGAACAATATCCATATGAGTAAAAATCACTTTCATGCCAATAACTTAAGCAGTTGCTCTAAAGGCGTTCCTCACTTTACTTTTCTTTGTTATTGAATGGATTGGAGAGAAACTCAAATTTTGATGCAGGTGGTCGCTGATTGCCAGACCGATGCCGGGACGAACAGACAATCAGGTGAAGAATTACTGGAACACTCATTTGAGGAAAAAACTCGGGATCAAGAAGACAAAAGGAGAAGTTGTGAGGATGAGATCGTCCGAAGTCGTGGGATCATCGCAACCAGCGGAGGAGGCTGTTCAGAAGAGACTGCAACCGGATAAATTCGATGTTGAGCTTCTTCCAAGGAGCGAGGTCACGGTGGCCGGAGATACTCAGAGTGCCGGTGAGATGGGTAATGAAGAATCCCAATTTGGGATTATTGAGTTTGTTAATAATGATCTTTTCGACATGCCTAGTCCGGGGTTGTTGGAATTCTCTGATGGCCATCCTTTCGATGCAATTTGGCAAAGTTAGTATTTTCATTTAGAGATTAGAATAATTAGAAATTAAACTTATTATTCACTATTACTAATCAGCAGAAGTCAAATCATTTGCTTATAACTTTTGTGTTTTTGTATATATTGCCGTCCACAATAAAAGATAACTTTTCTTGTTTTATAATTTAATTCACTTATACATTATACAATTTAAATTTAAAAATTTTTAAATAAAATTATTCATGAGTTATTTAGTATCTTGATATAATTTATTTATATTTATTTATCAATTTCATAAGAGTCATTAACAAAAAAAAAAAAAGAGAGTACTGATCTTGATAGAATAAGATTGTGACAAGGTGATAAAAACCAGTTTTTTTCTTTTTATTAACCTTTGATATTTAATAATTATATTAGCTACTAATTAATTTAAAATCGAGTTTCGTTAAATCTAAAATTAAAACTCTTTCAATATCTATTTCTCTAATTACAAAATTTGAAATCGAGATTTTATTTAAAGGAATTGAGGTTTTATCTTTCAAATCAACAGGCCATTGGTATAAAAACTAATTATTAAAATAGAATTTGAGAACATAGACTGATAATTAAATTAGGCAAAATGAGTTGCTTAATTAATTTTCTTTTGCTTTTTTTTTTTTTTAAGTTTTTGTTCTAAAATACACAATAAAAAGTATATTCTCCACGTTTTTTAAGTTCTATATATAAAAGAAAATACAAATATTACATTTCAAGCAAGCAACCTTCTGATTTATTCTACTAGTTGTTTAGAAGATGTATAACACGCATTGCAAGGGAAAACCTACAGAAATACTGAAATGTGCAAGATGATGCAACTTATACAGTCAAAGATGGTATGACCTTGAAATCAAGATTCCAGAGGTCGAAAGTACCAACCACAAAATCGTAATATGCACCTTTTAGAGCAAGAGTTCCCTTCACAACGGAATCTCGTACAAATGGGTATGTCAACAAGTTACCCAAAGATACATTCACAGCCTCCTGTTTCATGCCACAAAGCATAATTAACAATTTGAAAATCCAAGATAGAAAAGAATATGATATATTCAAGGTGTAATTTCAAAGTGACATGTAAAATTTTATTCTATAATTTTATATTAATAGTTACTAAAGTGAATGTATAGTCGTATAGATACATTTCAATCATAACAAACTTGCAATAAATATTGAGTGAAAGTGTAAATCACCTTCTCACAATTCTTGCATTGGTCTGCAAAACTCAAGTCTTTAAATTCTGATTTCACCTTGTTCTTTGCAGTTGAACAAATATTGACCCATTGTTCTATGAAATCACTAAAAGTACAAGAAACCAAAAAAATTCAGAGCACAACTGTGAATATGTATTAAGATCCTTTCAAATAGATATGCTATCCTATTGCGCTTATTTATTCATTTAAGTTTTAGTACTTATTTTGTTTTTTTAGTCTCTCCAAAAATCTTTTAAATTATTTAATTAACAACTTCCATATTACATAATTTAGTTTTCACCAATATCTTAAAAAAGGGTTATATTTCAAGAAATATCTTCAAAAAAATTACTCACTTTTCTCAATGAAACTGTTTATGCACATTTGGCTCATTCTAGATAAGAATATAAAAGCCATAGTTTTTCATTTCATGAAGATTAGAAAATCGTTGTTTGCACGATTTAATCATGATGGAACAGATAGAATGATCAACCACACCTCCCCCAGTCTCCACAAGCTAGCACAGTATGAGTAGAAAGTGGCTCAGCAGAATGAAAAGAAAGGGCACGGACATTATTATGATGGGAATGTGAATTGTAGTAAAACAAGGCATCCAACAACCCAAACACAAACTATTTAACGGGCTGGATTGTTAAGTCTTTTCCTTTGGCCCAAATCAAAAGAGATAGACAACTAAGACATAGGTAATATGCAAGTTCCAAAGAAAAAAAGAAAAAGCTATAAAGTTCTTTTCTATGTGCTTTTATAGTTTATTCTGCTTTCCATTAGCCTAACATCTCCAAGAATATGGCAACCGTAATAATCTATTCTCATTATATATTCCCCAAAGAAAGAACTTAAAGTCATGATGATTAGGGACGCTGACCAATTTGTTTTTGATTATAATAACATACAGAAAAGTGTGTTGCTTTCACATGGGGGCCAGAGAAGATTCTTTAAAAGGCCAAAATACTGAAAATTACTTCTTAGTTATTGTATTTACGTTCCCTGATTCAGCATATGCTTAGAAAGGGTTCAAATATGCTATATGCTCCAATGATAGAAGTATTACCTGTTAGTGGTTCCGTCATCTGGGATAGACATCAGTCCCTTTATACCGCCACAGCAGCTGTGTCCAACAACTACAATATTCTCCACCTAAAGTAACATTCTCTTTTACTCCAGTTTCATAAAGGGGAAAAAAAATGAAAGAAGAGAAGAAGTAACCAAATTCATTTCGTATTGAACTGAAACATGGAATTATAATAATGGTTGATAATATCCAGAATTCGATATTTTTGGAAAGTTAAAAATAAAAAAGGGTCAAGGTCATCTCTTTAATTAGGGTATGGACCGCAAGCGCAATTAATAAATGGAGCGGATGGAGCATGCCTTGTCACTAAATATGAGGTTGCCTCCACCGCGAAAGTCTCCATCCCCCACTAATTCAGCTACCATTATGAAAAAATAGTAACGCAATGATGATTCATAGGGAAATATACATGTCATGGAGAGTAATTTGCTATTTTATTCACCTTCAGATGCAGCACCGCATATTCAATGGCCGCACCAACTCCGGAGTATTTGGTCTGCAGAAAACGGGGATAAAAAATTCAATTATACTTTCAATAAATAGATAAGGGTTTTGGCTAACATAAGTTCTAAAATTATAAATTAAGAATTAATGCAATAACTATATATATTTTTATAATTAATTTATATAATTGACCTTTATTTTAATACTATTGTTATATGTATGGTTTTAATTAATTAATTAATTAATTAAGTTAAATTTAATATTTATATTTTGTTATAAATTAACTATAAAAAATACAATAAATAAATATTTAAGAGTACAAGATAAAAAAAACTTAATAACTTATAAGAATCAATACATGAATTCAAAGTCCCGAATAATGTAGCTTAACAACTCATAAGCTAAAGATGGAAGAATGTTTTAGTGAAAACATGTATATATATAGTAACAAATTGATAATTTTGCAGATTGAATTTGACATTGTAGTGACAAATAGAAGTCATCCTGTGTACAATAAACGTTGTTAATTAGGCAAACCTTATCATAGGGCGGGACCATGTTTGCGATATTGCGGACCACAAAGGCCTCCCCCGGTTGGAAATTCAGAATATGAGATGGGCAAACCCGAGAGTCTGAGCAAGCAAACACCATAAACTGCATAAAAAATTCCCAAAAAAGGGAAAACAAGATAAAAGTGTTAACTAATAGTGGGGGTGATAAACTTGCAAAGCCCAACGTACCAATTTTAATCTCCAAAGTATTCCCTCAAAAAAAGTTATATATGTGTTTATTATATAATTTAGAAAATAACTATTAAATATTAATTTTTATAAAATAAATTACATACTTTAAATTATAAATAATAATTGTTATTAATTATTAAAAAACACTAGCAACTAATCCAGTCGCCTTTATATATAAAGAGATGAACCAAAACCAAACACCTATATCAATGCCAGCAAAACAACCGTAAAAAAGGTTCTTTTCTATGTCAATTGTCAACCCCATCATCCGTTGCTTTCTTAGACGAAGAAACAGCCACTTGTTTTCCCACTTTTAAAAGGTAAACAAACAAGATCCATTCATACATAATTCAAATATTTCTAAAATTATTTATTTTTTTCATTCATTTAATTCAATATGTGAAATATTAATTGATCAATAACAACTTCTAAAATCCAAATTCATAAACTCTTTTCAAATAATTGCCTAATTTTTCAAACCCAGATTCAGATAACAATACGATTACAGAAAGCGCTAGAATTAGGAACCTTGGGGCTCTGTCCTTTGGCAAGGGCACTGTAGAGTTCAGGATTCTTCCTGAGAGAAAAAAGGCAAACAAATCGAAATCGTAGTCAGATTACTAGAAGGTAAATGCTGCAAGCAAATCTGCAGACTGCACACGGTGCTGTTTCCTAATTAAACAAACAAACATACTCGTATTTCTCTGTCTTGAAGTGATGGAAACCAGTTTTCATCCTCTCGACCGGATCGCATTGCCCCGATTTGGAACTAGCCTCCAGCTCCGCCGTTATCTGGTTGATTTTGGCGGCGGCGACGCTTTTGAGGCCGGCCTTTTCACTGCAAACAACGACGCACCGGAAACCGTTAGACAAATTTACGCCTACGGATTTCCGTCAACGGTGGGGCCCGGCGTCGAGGTAGGCAACTTGAAACGCGGTTCACCAAAAGATGGAATAATGAAATGACGGATAAGGACAAGAATCATCCGTAAATTTACCGCCGGAAATGACTTTCTTACCCTGTTTGGATGAAAATGGAATTACACTACTACCTGATAAGCTTCGACAGCTCTGCAACAGCCCCATCATATGCGTCCATCGCCATGTCTTCTTCTCTCTGTAAATTTTCCAGGGAACCAAACGGAAAATTAAACTGAAATCATCATCTTAATTCTCAGCTGATATAATATGAACTTTCATGAAATAAATTCTCAGCGTGATCTGTCAACTGAAACGTCAGGATAATGACTTTTAAGTCTTTAACCAATCAAACTCTATAATCAATATGAAAGAATTCTCAAAATTCAAGTTTCGTGTAGAAATGTGCTGGAACGGGATCGATAAAAGAAAAGGTGAGAGAAATGAGAACAGGCTGTAAACAGAACAAAGGAGGTCGTGAAACTGGTGGAATTCGAAGAGAATTTGGTTGATCTGAAATGGAATTGAATGTTTGGATAAGAAGAATCGATCATCTTTCTCTGCTTTGAGAATCATCAGTTGGTTCTGATCTTAGGGAGGAAGACTTACCACCTGATAAGCAGCAAACAAGTGCTCTCCTTTTTCACGAGCTCTCCCCCACTGAATCTGATCACTTGTGGAGTGCGCAAACGCTTCGGATCATTGGCTTTATTTATATATAAATTTTATAGTACCAATAAGAATAGAAAACAAAAAAAATAATATAATTATTTTATAATATTAGTATTTATGAGTTATAGCGGTAAAAAAATAATAAAACAATATTTAAAAGTACATATTTTAAAAAAATATATATTAATATCGACTCTTAAAAATTAATTGAAATTATAACTTTAAATTATATGGTTTTATCTAATTCAAAATTTTAAAAATTATTTTGTTAAATGTTAATATATTAAAATATATAATAAATTTTTTAATTTAAATATTAATATTTAATAAAATAAGGTTTTGATTTTTAAATATAAATTAAAATTTTAATTATTTTTTAGAATCGAAATTAATACACACTAAATTCATATTTTAATAGTGTTACAGGAAAAAACAAGAACAATTTCATTATTATTTTAAAAATTACTCTTTTTATTTATTTTTAATAATTGAGTTTTACTATTTAACTTTCTAAATATAAAAGTTAAGTAAAAATTTAATTTATTTTATAAACAATAATTAAAAAAAATTTTATATGAAAATTTTATTTTTTAGATACAATACTTATTGAGTATTTTTATTTAATTAAAAAAAATTCAATTATCATTGATTCAACAAATAAAATCAAATTAGGATATATAAAAGGTTAAATTTTAATTTAAAACTTATATTTAAAAAGTTAAAAAAATTAAATTAGATTTATCAAAAGTAACCGAGGAGTAGGATATATGTTTTAGTTTTTTTAATAAAAATGAATTAAAATGAGGGTATTTTTTGCTTAATTTTTTATCAATGGTAGATAAACATTTTTTATTTTTATAAATAAAAAATGGAAGAAAAAATTTCATTTTATCGGATAAAAAATGAAAGAAATTAAGACAACAAGTGTCATTGCATTGGCAGAGGGCATGGGTTTTCTAGTGTTTGGACTTTGGACAGGGTAGTCAAATTTGGCAATGATGTGAAGATTATCACCTGGTGTGAAACGGTGTAGGATAAACGGTGAACGGCTAACCGCTAATTGATTTTCATGAATGACATTCGGTACGTGAGTGGTTCAATGTAAGAGAGAAAGAAGCCGAAATGTACGTGACTGGTTCATGAATGACATATGGAGTATCAGCTTTTACATTTTTTTATCAAAATTTATATTAAAAAGATATTTTTAGAATATATTTGGTTGTATTTTAATATTTTTATACTATTTATATTTCATAAATTAAAATTTTTCTCTTAAAAATTTATATTTTTTAAATTTTTTTAATTTTAAAAAGACTTTAAACATTAAGAATTTAAAAACTTCAAATCCAACATTAAACTCATTATTTATTTATTTTTTCATATTTCTAAAAATAACTTTTAAAATTTGCTTCCAATAAATATTTAAATTTATCACTAATAAACAATACAAAAAATAAAAATAAAAACTCTTACAAACTAACCAAACATGCTTTTAATCTCTACTATAAAGGCAAATGTTAAAAAGATTTTAAGTTCAATGGGAGTATTTTTTTTCTTCATTAAAAGGAGGATGTATAATTGATATAAAATTTTATATTTTTTTAATTAATTACTTAAATAATACTCTCTATGTTTAATTATGGTAGGCTTAATTTTTTTTATTTTGGATGTTTAAATTTAATTGCCTACTTTTACTTTTTAATATGATATTTAATATATTTATTTTTATTTTACCCTTATTTTTATAAAATAATTACAGTATATACTCTATTTGCACCAAAATACCTATTTTTTTAATTTGATTTTATCCTAAATTACTTATTATTTTTAAATTTTTTATGATAGATAAATATATTTATCTTATTTTAACCCTATTATTATTCATTAATTTTAATTAATCATCCCATCACAAAAAAAAAAAATTCTTTATATTTTATTTTTTAAGATAATATAGATGAACACATAAATTATTCTAAAATTCTTAATTTAAAATAATTCAAAAACCATATATAGTTATAGATGAAATATTAAATAAAAAGACTTATTTAAGTATTAATGATTAATTAAGGATCAATATAAAATTTTATTATAATTTATACTGTAATTATCTTCTTAAGATAAAGATAAAATAAAAATAAATATTTAAATAACACCCAAGATAAAAAGTAAATAATTAATTTTAATTGCTATAAATAAAAAATAAAAAAAAATTAAAGTTGAAAAATATATATTATATTATTATTGTAAATGAGTTTGATGTTTCCTAGTCCAAATAAACAATTTAGAGAATGAAAATAATTAAATACTTTTATTAAATCAATATATCAAAAAAAAAAAAAATTAAAGAGTATTGTTACCAATTGTACCTTTTTGTGCTATTAAAATTGAAATATTTATTGTTCAATGTTCGTTATAAATTTATCAAGATAAACTAAATTTTAGTACTGCTTATAATACGTGGGATAAATAATTGAGAATATAGATCACCAAGGTATCTCCAATAAAAAAAAAAAAGAAGGAATTAATAAGGCGTGGAATTAAAACACATTCGTCAGCATTTCTTTCAATTTACATTATTCTAGTAAAATTCGTGAAGTTTATATGCTTAATTAGGAAATTTCATACTTTCTCTTTCAAAAAAATTATTATTTTTTGATTTTGAGCTACTTTAAAATTAATTATTATTTTTTAAAAAAATAGATATTTATTTTTTAATTTAATCATATTATTATTTATTTATTTTAATTAATTATCTTATCATAAAAAAATTTGATTTTATTTTTTAATATTTTCTTAAGAATAATGTAAATAAATATATGAATTAGTCCTAAATTTTAATTTTTTTTAAAAAAGTAAGAAGCGATAATTATCTTAAAATAAAAGAAAAAAAGTTATGTATTTTATTTAGAAAATTCTTACTTCTTCTATTTTATCTTATTAGATTTCATTTTTTTATCTAAAACAATAGATATGTAACTAATGATTAATTAGTTCGAACATAAAGAGTCTAATTCTTTTTAAATAAAATTTTAAATTTAAGTTTTATAAATAAAAAAT